GTAAGTGAAGATGCTCTGGAAATTGGAAGGCATTATACAAGTATAAGGTATTAAACTTGCCAAGGGCCTGTTCAGACTTTCCTAATGGTTTCAAAGCTAAAATAATCACTGTGGGTGGAGACCATATGTGGATTCTTCCTAAAAAGAGCAGTAGAAAATAAGCAGTTGTTTTATGGAGTTTTCTACATTTAATGACAACAGTTACTACTGTCATTTGAAATTCTAAGAACAGATAATGGTTTCTTGATACATTCAGGAATTTTAATCTTTTCTATGTAAAATCCCTTATTCAGTGCCTTTTTTTTCCCTCAGAAACCTGCATCATATTGTTCTTGGGGAAAGTGAGATATCTATCGATGGACTAAAACCACTATGTAATCATAGCTAAATCTGGAATGCAAAGGTACATGACAGATTTCAGTTTAAGCTGCCCGGTATCTAGCATTAGAAGGAAAATGTTCACTTGAAATCAAGATTCGCGACAGTATGTCAATACTAACATAAAACTTGATCTCTGACAAAAGAATGCATAAGGATATTAGATAACTCAGATACAATGTTAGGATTAGTAAATGACATTGAATTTTCATAGTGCAAAACAAGTTGCCATGGTTTTGGAGACATAAATATTATTTTATACATGTTAGAAATAATGTACATCTAAATTTCATGAGTTCATTTAGCAGACATTTTTCTGGTCCTATGCTGTCTACCAGGCACTGTGTAAGTCTTAGGATACAGGGGTGAATATGTAGTCCCTTTCCTCTGTATTGATGATTTTAACCAAGGTTAAATCTTGGAATAGTTTTAAAAACTTGTACTCCACTCCTAAAGATTCAAGTTCAGAAGCCCTGCAGTGGGATCTGAACAAGTAGATTAAGAAACACCATCAATAACAAAAACAACTCCCCTGGGGTTTTGATGTGTCACTCTTGTTAATAACCACTACTCAACATGCTAATAGATGGGGACAGACACAGCATGGTAAGAACAATTTCTGAGTTGTGAGCAGGATATTATGGAATCCCAAAATAGGGACACTTAATCTGTCCTCAGAGGGGGCTGGTTAGGGAAGGATTTCTGGAGAAGGTAATATCTAATCTTCCCAAATATTATGCATTATTTATCTAATCACAAACTTAATTAGGAAACCAGTGAAGCAACACACATGCAAAAACAAAAAAAAAATTATCCTTTATGACTTCGATGTTTTAAAATTTTGCTATAACATGGATAGAGTAGATTTTTCTGTAACTATTAAATTTTGCATTCTCTATAGATTTTTAGATTTAAGGTCTTTAATCAATTCTGTAATTCAGGGAAACATATCATTATTACCTTTGAATTTTTGTCCCATCCTTTTCTTTGTCATTTTCTGGGATTTCTATTATCCATATGTTGGTATCTTTTTCTATTCTCCTTCTCTCTTAATTTTCATATCTTTATCCCTTCTTAGACTTTATAGATCCTGTAATTTATTTCATCTATTATATTTTGTTTTTCAGGTATTATATTTTTAGTGTCCAATATTTCTGTTTGATTATTCTTTTTGACTTCTGGTGCCTGTTCCATATAATCTAAAGCCTGCCCGATTTCTTTGAGAATTTTATTCTTGTTTTGTATCCTACTTTATGTAATAAAGCTTTTCTTTGTAACAAATATATTTTGTGTTAGTTATCTGTTGCTGCACAACAAACTTATGACAGATTCTCTTAAAACTTAGTGACTTTAGAAAACAGTAATCATTTTTTGTCATTCTTGGTTTCTGTGGTTCCAAAATTCAGACAACATACAGCAGGGCTGGCTTATTTCTGTTCCACAGTATCTGGGGCCTCAGCTGCAACACTTGAAGGCTGGGGACTGGAGTGATAGGAATTGCATTGTCTCACATTTCTGGTGGTGGTTGCAGGTGTTGGCTGGATCCTGGTTGGGGCTGTCTACAGGAAAACCCACATGTGACTTCTCTTCTTGGCTTAAGTTTCTCCACAACATGGTGGCTACATTCCAAAGAGAGAGAGGGAAGGAAAAAGAAGGAACATCAGGCAGAATTGTAATATATTTTGGAAGTCATATAGATCATATAGTCATGTAGTCTTATAGATCACTTTTCCCTATGCCATTGTTTGAGGCAGGCATGAGTCTCTGCCCAAATTCAAGAGGAAAGAACATAGAACACATTTCTTGGTGAGGGGAGTATCAGTTACATTGTAAGAAGGACATATGGGAATGAATGAACATATAGGTGTGGGCATCTTTATAAAATATAATTTTTCATATACTTCTTATTATCCTGCTGTTCTTGCCTGTGAGGTCAGTTTCATCTGAGGCTGTAACTGTACTATCTGTAATGTGCAAGGAAGGGTGATGAACCAGAGCACTAGCTTATAGACCTTCTGGTGAGTTTAAGGAAAGAATCTGAGACAGGCTCCTCTTAAGCTTGTCTAAATGGAAGATTCCAGAAGATGCTTCTTTGTTTCTCTGCAAGAGGTTCTTGCAGATTAGTTCTTTGTATCTGAGCTCTCCTCTTTTATTCTTATTTACTTCTTAATTTTTTTTAGAGGAATCCTGTAGCTCAAGCTAATTCATCATTTGTCAGGAGCTGGAGGTTCTTTAGTATCCTTCTTTTCTAAACAGTCTATAATTAGAGCTTTGATTTCTTCTTTGCCCTAGGAATTACTTAGAACAGTGTGGTTTTGTGTCCTTACATTTACATTTGATTGTTTTTTTAGATGTATACTTTAAAAACTTTTTCCACCTTTATTGAATCGTGGTCCAAGTGGCCTATACTATTATTACTTTTTGGAATTTGAAGTTAAATATACAGTCATTTTTTGTTACTGTTTAAAGGAATCTTGACTAAAATGTATGCTTTTTTTGGGGAGGGGGGATGCCATTTTTCCCCCTGCTTGGATTCCTTTTAAAATTCTCTTCTTATCCTTTAAATTTAGAATATGTTAAAGCCATTTCCAGATAATGGCCTCTTTTCATTGCTATGCATGTTACACAGCAAATCGTTTTGATTTGAAGGTTCAGGTTTATATATACCTCAGGATTTTTTCCTATTTTGTATCTATAATTATTCCTGGTTTCCTATCTTCCTTAAAAAGCCTTTTCCATCTTTTTTATGTCAAGATTGTTAAGCTGTTTTGAACACAGTTAGATCTTTAATCTTATCTGGAGTAATTTTTTTAATTGATGTAAAGTAAGTAGCTAATAATTATTTTATTTTCTCTAAAATTTACATCTAATTGTTCTAATATCAGTGATTTGAAGTGACATATTTAAAAAATTTTAAATTCTCAGATATATTTAGAAATATTTCTGTACTAGCAAATTGTGCATTGACCTATTTTTCTATTTCTTTTGATATCTCCAGTACTGTTTAATTATAGCAGCTTTGCATGTATTTTCATACTACTTCAGTGTGCATTCCCTGTTTCTTTTCCCTTTTTTTGATATTTTTTCTGATTCTCATATATTTTTCCAAATAGACTTTTGAAATTCATCAAGTAAATTTGATGGTTAGTACTTGTGTGTTACTACCAATCAGTGCTCTAGGAAAGAAATGTTCTATATTGCATTGTCTAATATGATAGTCACTAGCCGCATGTGACAATTGAGCCTTGAAATTTGGCTAGTGCAGCTCAGGAACTGAATTTTTTTTCATCTTTAGGTATTTCTTTATTAGAAAAGAAATCAACCATTCACACTAGAGACTGAAGAAGGAAATTAACTTAATATTGCAATTCTAGAACAAATGTCACAATAAGAGACCCTAAAGATTTCATAGAGTGGAGGGAAAAAGGAGCGAGAGAATCATTTAGGACTGTGTTTCTCAAATTTGGCCACTTCACAGAGATAGTCTTAGGGGAGGTGGTTGCAAGTTTTCTGTGATAACACTTTAAATTTTATATTTTACTTCTGTTCATATTCTGAACAAGTTAATACAGACTTCTTACCTGGACAACCATCTTGCATAACAGAGGTGCCACAGAAGCTACACTTGCACCCTTGATCCCTGTGGCACCAAGTGAAGACCAAACATGTTTAACTTATGTGGCATATCTCAAATTGGGTCCTCAAGTCCTTTCACAGAACTGTTGAACATTTCCTATGAGATCTGTCAATTGTTAAGGTTAAGAACACTGGTTCAGAGCAGAGATTCTCAAGATAGGATGGGGTGGGATGGGGATGATGACTGGGGAAACACATGCAGCTTGAAAAAGCGTATTGAAAATACATATTGTTGGGGCGCCTGGGTGGCGCAGTCGGTTAAGCGTCCGACTTCAGCCAGGTCACGATCTTGCGGTCCGTGAGTTCGAGCCCCGCGTCGGGCTCTGGGCTGATGGCTCAGAGCCTGGAGCCTGTTTCCGATTCTGTGTCTCCCTCTCTCTCGGCCCCTCGCCCGTTCATGCTCTGTCTCTCTCTGTCCCAAAAATAAATAAACGTTGAAAAAAAAAAAAAAAAAGAAAATACATATTGTTTTCATAATGCAAATTCCAAAAAGTCAGACTCAACAAAATAACTTTCAAGCAGTAGCAGAAAACCAATTATAGATTCATCCCAGAGGGTCTGGGATAAACTTTGTTGAAAAACGCTGGCTTGGAGCTAGAGGAGTCCTGGCATATAGAGAACAGTTCGTAAGAAACACGTGTCGAAGAGAGGACATCTTTTGGGTCCCTGACTGAATCCTAAGCTGTAACTTGTCATGGTCTTTTGGAACCTGAAGGGCCAATCGAGAGGAATCTCAGGATGTCCATCACTCTTCTCAGACCCGTGGTTTGGGGCAAGTTGGCTCAGTTTTAATACTGAATCAAAAAAAGCAAAGGCTATTTTTTCCCAAAAAATTACACCCCTCTTTTTTTGGTGAATATATTTCAGAATTTTAAGGAAACAGTTGCTGGAGCTATTAGCCCCACATATATCCGCCAGGAAGTGTGGTATCATCTGCAGTGCCATCCAGCTTTCATAGGGGATATCAGCCTGGGGCTGCTCTATACTTATTGTAGACCTCTAATTTGCTTTAGCTGCTTCAGCAGTTCCCCACTGTGATGCATTTCTGTCAGATAAGTGCATCCACTTATACAATCTTTACCAATAAAGACCCAAGGTACCTTTCTGGCTCTTGTGAGCTGTTTCAAATAATTTTGATTCTTGATTGTGTAACTAGTGGCTGTGATTATCAACAAATTCCAAAAACCCTTCTGTGAAGACAATTGACTGAGGAGCTCTTGGATCCTTCTGCGGTAGGAGCAGGTGGGCTTAATGAACACAACCACGTTTCCAGGTTGGATTTTGCTGTTCACAAATTCTTGAGCCCATGCTGACAGGCAGCTGCCTCCTAGGGAGGAATCTTCCATTGTAGGCATTGCTCAGGGTACAAACCCATACATTTTTAATTTAATCTAATTTAATTACATTTAAATGTAAATAGCCACATATGGTAGTGGGTACTGTACTGGACAATGAAGTTCTAAAGCCAGAAATAGTTACAGAGAAAATAGATCATGGATATTCCCATCAAGGGGGGCTTTTATTTTCCTGTATTTTCTTTTCTAATATGCGGTGATGTCAAAGTATGCAGGTAAAGTTCTTTATACAACGTCTCTTTAGCCTAGCTTCATGTCCAGGGACACAGTGTGACTGCAACCAGCTTTCTTTTTGGTGCTACTAAACACTGCATCAGGGAGGGGACTTGCCATAACCTAGTAAACCCGTATGTCTTGGATTACTCATTTGGCCCAACAGGTCTTAAATGATCTATAGTAGTAGAAATAGAATAGTTTTCATCTTTTCCACTGTCTGCTCTCATCCTCTCAAATTATGGAAACTTAGTGAGTTTCTGCCAGGAACTCTTCTGTGACTTCCTGTGTCAGTTCACTATCATCACAGTAGTGATGGAATGGGTAGTGGAATGTTGTTGGTTTCTTTCTTTTCTTTCTTTCTTTTTCTTTCTTTCTTTCTTTCTTTCTTTCTTTCCTTCCTTCCTTCCTTCCTTCCTTCCTTCCTTCCTTCCTTCCTTCCTTCCTTCCTTCCTTCATGTTTAATTATTTATTTTGGTAGAGGAAGGGCAGAGAGAGATGGAGAGAGAGAATCCCAAACAGGCTCTGTGCTGTCTGAGCAGAGCCCAGTGTGGGGCTTGATCTCATGAAGTGTGAGATCATGACCTGAGCTGAAATCAAGAGTCGGATGCTTTACCGACTGAGCCACCCAGGTGCTCCTAGTGGTTGGTTTCTTATTTGATTTAGAATTTCTAGTGTTCCAGTTCAGGAATCCATAGCGTCTGCTGCCTAAGTGACCATGTTGTATTGGATAAGCCAATCATCTGAATACCTGTCATGCCAATGCCACATATTTCTAGCTACCTAGATAATTGTATTTTGTACATATGACCTTGGCCTCTTTGCCATAACTGCTTGGACCAGAGGTGTTTGAATATGGCTCACAGATGCATAGAATGAACAGCAATCTATATGGTGGCATTAAAAAATGAGTTGAACTGATTTATTTCTTTTCCAAGTTTGATCTATGAAAATCTAAGTAAATGATTCAGGTAGCCTTGCAATAGTTGGTTAAGAATTCATTAGGAAGAAGCAGAGCCATACCAGTGTTATTTTGGTGCCTCACAGACTAAGTGATGAGAGACCAGAAACTAAGGGTAAGCAGAGGGAGCCATTTGGTCACTAAGGGACATACTTAGTGGAAGTAAGCATACTTCCACATGCTGTGGAAGTAACAGCATGCTGCCTATGGAAGAGATAGAACAAGTGCAGGTAATTGAGTTGCCTCAGTTTCTGATGTTACAATTCCAGAGTATAAGAATGCTTAAAATAAGCATTTATTTAAATTTATGTAATTTACTTTAGTGTTTATTTTTAAATCACTTTATTGAGGTATGATTAGCGCACACACACAAAAAACTGTACATAGTTAATGTAATAAAATATTATTTTTAGAGTCCAACAGCTATTAACATTCTCCTAGAGTGATTATTAGAAAAAACAAATCTAGGAAAATATGGGGACTAACCCCTGTTCATCAGCTCAGAGCTGCGGTAGGATAAGATATTAAACTATTGGTCTAAAAGAAGATCATTTCGGGGCGCCTGGGTGGCGCAGTCGGTTAAGCGTCCGACTTCAGCCAGGTCACGATCTCGCGGTCCGTGAGTTCGAGCCCCGCATCGGGCTCTGGGCTGATGGCTCAGAGCCTGGAGCCTGTTTCCGATTCTGTGTCTCCCTCTCCCTCTGCTCCTCCCCCGTTCATGCTCTGTCTCTCTCTGTCCCCAAAATAAATAAACGTTGAAAAAAAAAATAAAATAAAATAAAAGAAGATCATTTCAGATTGCCTGTAGGGATCCTTCTATATTGCCACTACGAAGATGACTACCTAAAAATGACTGCTTAAAATTTTTGGTGTATTTTGTAGCTACCATAGTACTATTTTCTTTACTCTTCTTCTCCTCCTTTTTCTTCCCCCTCCTCCTTCACTCCTCCACCTCCCTCTCCCTCCCTTCTTTCTCCCTCCACCTCCCTCTCCCTCCCTCTGTCTTCTCTCTATCTGACTTAATTGTAATCACACTGTATGTACTCTTCCCACACTGAATATGGTAAAAATGCTTGTTAGAGTATTATAAAAATTTTGTTAGCAGTTTCAATGGTTGCACAATATTTTATCGTGTGTGTGTTAATTATTACAAACAAATACATTTTTTCTGGACCTTTGCTTCACATGAATTCTTAATATAATATGCTGTGATAAATATGCTTACATTGATTTTTTTCCTGCATTTTGAAATATTTTCTGGGTAACTTAAAATTTTTAATTTAAAGTGTACATTTTTATAAGCATTCTTGGGACAGTTTTATAATTTTTATCTAAAGATTTCCATAATGTGATGGCAGCAATAAAAATCCAGCAGCATTTTTATTAGAAATGATTCTTCTAATGATTAAAAATACTAAGTTAGGACTTGATAAATAAAATAGTGTCAATGTCACTCTCCACAGATTTCTCTTTTTCTGTAATTTTTCCATCATTCCTTTTGTTAGCTTCTCCCATAAAGCCTCCAATCCATCTCCTTTATCCCACTTAAATTTTGTTTTCCCTTTATTCTGCCACTCTGTTTCATACCTTTCCTCACCAAACACCTTGAAAAAAATAGTCCACACTCACTTTCTCACCTTCCAATCAACCATTAACCTCCTGCAGTCAAGTGTCTGATGCCATGACTTAAAACACTTGACACATGGTATTATAGTTTATTTTATCTTCTGCTAGACTGTGTGTGCCTTAGACTCAAGACAGTTTTGGCATCCATAGCAATGGCACAAAATGTATAGTCAAGAAAATGAATTCATTCAACAAACATGGCATGATAAAGCTTCATCCATTCTGCACTTAGGCATGCATAAGATGAATTCGTGCATAAGATGAATTTCTTTGGCTTTTGGAGTAACAAATCCAATACACCTTTTTAAGGACTTATTCTATGTTGTATTTCCTTTCCCTTAGAATTTACTGGGATGGTCTGTCCTTCTGTTTGTGTCTGTGTACCTACCTACCTAATTGTTTGCTATATATACCTATCATCTGATTATCCATCTATCTTTGTTAAATTCAGAATCTTTATTAAGTTTCTATAAATTGACTTAATAATAATCTGATGGTTGTCAATGCAAGATAATATGTACCATGGATGCAGGTAAATGGCATATTTTCATTAAAATAATGTTCCTCTTAACTGTAGGAATAGAGCTTGGGACCAGAATCACAGAGGCCAATGTGGTTCAGGAAGTCAGGTGAAACGTAGGAGCCACTTGCATAAAGAGTCTGTGTTACATTATTCCATCTTTAAAAAGATGATAACCACTAGTTACTTATGTGGTCAGAACCTTGTGCATGGTACCAATACCAGAGGAAGTTAGGAAGGAGTGAGTCCCTTATTTGTAGCAATTTTTCTAATTGAACTAGGCAACATGTATATAAGCATATCACCAGAAAAATGCACACACATGTATTTTTGGGTTGTGTCCACTACCAAGGAATTGCTAAAGTTATTATAAGATTTTGAATGAGATGCAGTTTATCTGGAAAGACTGTGGAAAAATTCAATATTTAAGACATATTAAGAGCTTTCATCTTAAGGCAAGAGAAGGAGAGGGTCACTCTGAAGAAGAGGATATAAAAGCTTTGTCATAGAGAAAGTGCATGTTTCAAGGGTCCATAGTGAAAGTGAGTAAAGTGGTAGACAGTTGTGATGCTGTCTATTCATAGATGTAAGAAGCAGTTACGAATCATTTCTCAGCTGAGCAAAAGGTGCTGAAAATGATTAAACATCATGAAGCAGGAAGTTGTTGCTATTTAACAAAAGAGCTTTTAGTCTTGGCATTCAATTATGGATATGAAGCTGAAAAGGCAAAGCAAGAAATGTAAGTATATGACATGGCATATGGCCATGAGGGAGAATAAAGATATGAATGAGATTACAAGGATGCTTATGGAGACATTGGACTTAATCCTATCAAAACCCTTGTTGTCTGAAACAAAGATACCATCCTATAAAACAGAAAGAAGGAGGGAATGGGGCGGGGGGGAAGAGACAGGCAATTTTGGGGATTCATTATTTTTAAAAGTAATATCAAACAGTGGTAGCTGAATTATTTAAGAGAAAGAGAATGGAAGGGGGAAACGAGCATCTTGCACAATATTAAAGTGACTAGATTCCTTCCTTCCTAGGAGGGTTGGCAAAAGAGCCTCAAATAAATGGTTTTCTTGGAGATTTGAGTGCAAAGGCAGATGGGGCTCCAGAACAATTCAAGAATTACACAGAAGTGGAATTGACCGCTGCTCTTCTCAAAGTGTGAGGCATGCTGAGTTCAAGAAATACTGATTTAGGAGCTGGTGTGTGTTCATTCCTGTTTCAAAACATTGCTAACTACAAGAGACAGTCCATAGGGACAGGAAGTTTGCAGGACAGTGTCAACAACTCTGAGAGGATGAATTCGTGAGAGGCAATTGGGAGGACACTTTTGGAGAAGAAATAAAAGAGAATGTTTCTGCCATGAAAAAGACTTCTTTTAACCTTAAGAGGGAGGAAAATATTAAATTACATCAACCGTAGAGTTTAAATTTATTTTGTTGTAATATAGTTGAAGAAAATAATTTGTGAATGGCGTTAACAAGAGGATACAGAGGGGCACCTGGGTGGCTCAGTCGGTTAAGTGTCTGACTTTGCCTCAGGTCATGATCTCATGGTTCGTGGGTTCCAGCCCCCATGTCGGGCTCTGTGCTGACAGCTTGGAGCCTGGATGGAGCCTGCTTCAGAGTCTGTGTCTATTTTGCTCTCTCCCCCCTCCCCCAC